CAAATCCTAGTTCAGATCTGCTTCCGAGCTGGGTAGCTTTAGGCATGTTCCAGGGGACTTTTCTGTGCTTCCATTCCCTCAACTGCAAGATGGAATGAATGATTCATACTTTACAAGGTGCTCTTGAGCAAACAGTGAGATCGTGGGATGCAAAGTGTTGCAAACTATAGAGGACAGTTATTGGTCTTACCCACGAACATTACCACTATTTCGGGTGATGATCTTGGTTGTCTTAGCATCTGTGTTTCAATCTCAAGATCAATTCACTCCCCTGAAGTCCTTTTTATGTGAGCTGGACACCTGGGAACCTGAAGTCTGAGACTGCCCAGGATTGGGTCAGTGGGGGCCTGTGTCTGACTCCAAGGGCTCCTCAGGATAGATTCTGCCCACCCATCTTGGTGATCTAACTTAGCATAGGAGACACTGCCCATAGGGGCCTCCATGTCCCCCAGCTGGGACCCAGTAGCCCACCCTATGCTTTCAGTATGAATCCAAGAGTCGCTTGTCAGCAGACGCAGCCCTGAGTCACCCCTACTTCCGGTCTCTGGGAGAGCGAGTGCACCAGCTGGAAGACAGTGAGTATCTAAGGGGCCAGGACCATCCCAGAATCAAGGAAAGCTGGCAGCAGGAGTGGGTGGGACAGCTGAAACAGAGAGTCCAGAGGCCCAGTTCCCACTGAGCAGCCTTGGGCGTTTGGCTCCCCCCCCTCTAACTAAGGGGGCAGACTCTCAGATCTGAATGGTTGCTGAAGTGCTGGGTTAAGTCCTCCTGGGCCAGTCCTGAAGGGCTACCCAGCCAGGGTGCCCTCAGCTCCATGGACCCAAGGGGATGAGGGCAGCAGGTTCCAGGAACAGGTCTGCTCTACCCAACCCGCTCCATCTCTTCTCTCATCCAGCTGCCTCCATCTTCTCCTTGAAGGAGATCCAGCTCCAGAAGGACCCAGGTTACCGTGGCTTGGCCTTCCAGCAGCCAGGTAAGGCCTCATGCCTCCCAGAGGCTCCCCTTGGTAAAGGAGGCCAGGCAGGCTACCACTCCCCAGTGGGGACCTCCCTCTCAAGGCATAGAGATGAGCCCAGAAGCTCCCTGTGTTAGGGAGTCATCATGGTCCCTCCTCAACCCTGTCCAGACTGCCTTGTCCAGTCCTTCCTCAACACCCCAGATAGATTGCTGCATTTGACAGGTGCATGCCCTTTTTGGTACATTCTCTCTGCAGACCCTGAGCTCTCTGGCATCTGGGAGAACTACTTTGTCCCCAGAACAGCCAGTGGCCTTGGACCTGACAAGTATTTTCCTTGCATTATCTCATTCAATCCTTAAAATACCCCATAAAGGTACAAATCATGTTCCCTAGTGAAACGGAGGCTCTGAGAGGTTAAATCACAATGTCATGCAGCTCAAAAGTACCAGAGATGATCGGTTCGCCCAGGACTGCCTGGCTTCTGAGCCCCCAGATCTCAGGCACCTTGCAGCCTAGCCTCCTCCCTGCAGTCCCACCCATTCCTCCGTTCTCCAGGTCGAGGGAAGAACCGGAGGCAGAGCATCTTCTGAGGTGGGCCCACCCTGCTGCAGCTTGGGGGACAAGAGGTCACATGGAATCCAAGTTTGGGTAGGATGAGACCATTGGAGGACTGAGGAACGAGAGCCCGTGGCTGGAAGACTGTGTGGCAGCCTTGCTGGTCACAGCTGTTTCCTCTCCCTTCTTCCCACATACCTCCCTGGTGGCCTTTGCCTGGACACCAACCCTTGTCAGCCACTGTGGGGCCTGAGTTGCTCCCCTGAGAGGAGATGAGGGGGCAGGGAGAGACCTGGGACCCTCTCCCAACCTGAAGTGCTTGGATGTCAGCGTGGGACCCGCCTGGACAGACAGGAGAATTCAGGTGCCTGGCTGAGTACGGTGCCCCGGATAGGGGTTCCACCGTGCCTCCCTCTGGGGCCTGCCTGCCCCAGTTGGCAGACCCCCTTTCTGACCCCTTAGAGCCCACACACATTTCATCTTCTCCTTTGAGAGCAAGAAGGGGCATGGCAGCTTGTCTGGGAACCCAGAATACTGGGTGCTGATATGTGCCTAAGGCCAGCCCCACCTCAGGGGCAGATGTCTCTGTTGTCGCAGGAATGGCAGCCTGTCCTCTCGTCCTCCCCAGCCTGCTGTCTCTCCCCTCCTCGCCAGAGGCCCCGTGTGCTCCCTGGCTTGAACCAAGGCCGAGCAGCACCAGCCTGCTGCTCCATGTCCAGCTGCATCCGGAGGTGGCCTGGTACTGCCGGCCGCACTCCTGCCACCTCAGCCAGCCCCCGCCCGTCTCCCCAGTCTGGATGGAGTTGCCTTAATTTGGCAGGTGGCAGAGTGTACACTGCCCTTGGAGCTCTGACCCAGCTCCTACTGTCCCCTTTCCAAGAACCACCCCTGCTGTTCTTATCCCTGAGTGTCGATAAGTCAGCCCGGGTTGGGGCCCTGAGGAGAGCACCCAGATATGCAAGGTCACCCTGACACTGGTACCAGGCCCTGACACTGGTACCAGGCCAGCCTCTGCCCTTGGGGGCTGGCACAACCTTCTCTGTTCCTTTCTCCCCAGTCCTATGGATCAGTTCACCTGATCCTGGCACCAGCTTCCCCAGAAGGTGGTCATGAGTAGGACGGGTGTCAGTGCCACCGCCTGAGGTAAAATGGGAGGGGAGCAGGGTTCACCCCCCAGCACCCCTCTTATATTCCCAAGGTTTCCTCAACATGTGGCTGAATCTTGAAGGGCAAAGGCTGAGGGGAGGCCAGGCCCTGCTTCCTCCATGAGCCCCCTCCCAGCCCCAGCCCCTCAGCCTGGGGAGCAGCCCTGGAGTCTGGGCTCCCCCAGCCCCCCATTCTTCCCCCACTGTACTGTGAATATCCTGTGACTCAGCACAAAGACAGATAATATATTTAATTCATGTTGTACAGAAAGGAGCGATTAGTCTCCTGCAGGAAAGCTGACTGGTAGATCAATGCCAAAGATGGAGAACCGAAGCCCCCCCTCCAGCCTAATGAGCGGGGCTGGGGCTTGCTTGTATACACACCACACACACATAAAGTGGAGAGAGAGTTTGGTTTGTGCTTATGTCTGAACCATCCTGGGTGCCAGGGAACTCCCTGCTGCATTCAGGGCCGGATGTCCTCTCTGGTGGGGATCACTGAGGGTTGCCTCGGTGGGGATGGAAGGGCCTGGGATCCTGTATTCTGGATCCCTAGGCCCAGGTTGGTGCTTGGGGCTGACCAGTAGAACCGTGTGGGGGGGGCGGGTCCTAGTCTGGGGTGGAGCCCAGGATCTGGTGCAGCCGACCCTGGAATCCCTATACTAAATAGGATTACTGCTAGAAACCTCAAGTCCACCTCTTCTGCCGCTCAGGTTACCTCTTTATTAGGGTCTGGTCACATTTCTGTCACATACAGGCCTTGGTTCTCAGAGTCCTGCAGTCTTCCAACTCAGCGTCCAGGACTGTCCTCCCAGGACCATTCTGAGAATGCAAGACCCCCCCAACCACGCCCCCTGATGCTACCTACACTGCGTCCTCAACCCGGGTCTTGACAACTTGGTGATTTGCCGTCATACTTGAGGGGCAGCTGCTCCCCAGAGGTGGAGACCAATGTTTAGAGGCTGTTGATGTCTCCTCAGGCCACAAAAGTCAGGGGCAGGGCGGGCTTGATTTCTGCCCAGCACCAATTCCACGACACTAGGCCTCTTCAGCTGTCCTAGGCAGCTAGGTACCAAAGTGTAGGACCCAACCAGACCTCAGACAATTAGTGCTTACTGGGAGGGGACTGGGGGATCAGAGTGGAGGCTTTAAGCTGATTTTTTTTTCTTTTGATACATATCCCCAGCCCTTTTTATTTTTTTAAGATGGGGTCTCAGGCTACGTTGCCCAAACTGGCCTTGAACTTGAGATCCTCCTGTTTTAGTCACTGGGATTACAGGTGTTCACTGCTGCCCCTGACTTTAAGCTGAATTTGAAGGCAACCAGATGAAACCTGTCTAATAAGCACCCGCTCCATGCCAGACACCGTGCCCAGGCTTGTCTCATTGATCTGCACAGTATCCCCTTTCCCTCTGCTTTGCCCGTGACAGTAGGCCCCCAGAGGTTAAGTGATTTGCCCCAGGTCTGTGTGCCACTCCAGCCCTTGGTCTTCAGGGAGGGGAGGAGCACGCAGGAGGAGAGATGAAGACGGTGCAGAGGGCCACAGGCAGCAAGCAAATGCGAGGAAGAGCCTGAGCATGCTGCTGTGCTGGAGCACCTGGAGGCCACTGTGTGGCCAGGGGACATGGCAACCTTCTGCACGCAGATGCACCTACATCTTTCAGTCTTCCTGGGGCAGCTGTTCTTGCTGCTGCAGCTGTGGAGATATATTGAGGATTCCTAGTGTCCATCTGGAGCCATCAGAAGCTTCTGTCCTAGAAGGCTGTGGGACAGGACCCTGTGGGACATGCTCACAACAGGTCTTGTGTGTGGCAGGTGCTTGAAGACTTCCAGGGTAAAAATGATGGCTCTCAAGAAGAAGGGAGCTGAATTTGGGAGTGAAAGGGGTCCGAGTGACTGAAGGGCTGCAGGAGCTGCCCCTGGGCTCCCCAAGGACCGATCGAGGCACAACCCTGCCCCAGGTCCTGGTGCCCTCAGTTTTTGTCTCAAGTTGTAGGTGGACACAATGCCCTTCTTTTATTTGTTTATTTTTATGTGGGGCTGAGGAAGGAACCCAGTGCCTCACACGTGCAGGCAAGTGCTCTACCGCTGAGCCACAGACCCAGCGCCTGACAATCACTTTCCAATGTCACCTGTGGCCCTCTGCACCGTCTTCATCTCTCCTGCGTGCTCCTCCCCTCCTTGAAGACCAAGGGCTGGAGTGGCACACAGACCTGGGGCAAATCACTTAACCTCTGGGGGCCTACTGTCACGGGCAAAGCAGAGAGAAAGGGGATATTGTGCAGATCAATGAGACAAGCCTGGGCACGGTGTCTGGCATGGGACAGGTGCTTAATAGATAGGTTTCATCTGGTTGCCTCCAAATTCAGCTTAAAGTCAGGGGCAGCAGTGAACACCTGTAATCCCAGTGACTAAGACAGGAGGATCGCAAGCTACTAAACTCTTGGAAACAGGAGTCTGCCCATCGGTTGGAGTCCCTGGCTATAAGCACCTTCTGGTGAGCCATTGTCCCTTTTGGGTTCATTTTGCCATCTGCTCCTAGGATGGGTCAGGAAAGCCTGGTCCCTCCCACCAGCCTTCCCTTTCACAATGCCCCCCACTTGGCAGGACCAGCCCTGTACTGGGCAGTATTGTGAGACCTTTTCCTTTCCTTCTTCCTTGCAGCAGCATGGCCCTTTTGACCCATCTTCCCACCTCCACCTTCCCTAGGTCCTTCACTTCCAGGTGTGACTCCGGGGCATGCCCCTAAACCCTGTCTCCAGAGCCAATCGTCAGCACCATAAATTGGTCACAGCCTCAGTGCCTGAACCTGAGGACACAGGTGCAGGACACTCCAAGCTTGCCTTCCAGAATCTCAGTCCTGCTAGTAAAAATGGCCTTGCTTGTGACAAATTTTGTCAAGCACTCTCCTCCGGGCAGAGTGCCAGGTGCTGAGGATGAATGGTGAACAAGTCGCCGAGTCCCTGCTCCATGGAGCCCAAGTTCAAGTGGAGAAGGAAGACATTCCCCAAATCAACACAAGGCGTGCCAAGGGATTGGAAGTTCCAGAAGATCAAGCAGGGTCAGCAGATGTCAGGGTGCAGTGTGGAGGGCTGATGTACTAACATGGCCTGGGGCTCCTCTGGTAGAATCTGGGGGTGTTATGACTTGTAAGGGAGGGAGCCAGGAGGACACTCAGGAATATTCCAGCACAGAGAAGGTGAGAGAAGCACCTGCTGGCTATAAGCTAGGAGCAAGAGAAGGTGAGACTGGAAAGACATTGCGGAGCAGCAAGAGGGTTGGACCATATATGCCTCTGACTTATTGAGTCAGGTGTGGTGGCACACACCTGTAATCCCAGTGACTCAGGAGGCTGAGGCAGGAGGATCCCAAGTTCAAAGCCAGCCTCAGCAACTTATAAAGACCCTGTTGCAAACTTAAAAAAGGGGTTGCTGAGGATGTGGCTCAGGGATTAAGCACCCCTGGATTCAATCCCTAGTACCAAAAAAAAAAAAAAAAACAAGACTTAGAGATAGCTGGCTTCAGCAGCTGCGCTGGATTCAATCAGTTTTTAACAGTGGGAGACCAGATGTCAGCCATCAATAGTTTTTAATAGATTCCCACAATGCCCCCCCCACTCCGCATCTGGGGCTAGGGCTATAGCTCAGTGTTCAAGTGCATACTTAGATGCACAATGTCCTGGGTTTGGTCCCCAGATGACCCTGATGTGCAGCCCTGATTATGCAGAGTCCTGCAGGCCATGGTAAGGGCTCTGGATCTCAGTCTGAAATGGAAACTACGGACCTGCTTTTAAAAGCTCAGGAGATGGGGGCCCCCATTTGGATGGTGCTGTGTGGGCAAGGGAGGACCCCCTCTGGGCTATTAGCAGAAGTGTATCCGGCATAGTGGGAGGGAAGCAGTGTGTCACTATGAGGTGGAATCTGCCATCCCATTTCCCAGGGGAGGTAGCCAGGGCTCTGGGGTTAGGTGACTCTCCTGGCCACACAGTAAGGTGGAGGTTTGGTCCCAGGTCTGCCTTCCTAAGTAGCGGTGTGTTTTGCACCAATCCCGCTGCCTGGGGTGGGGTCGGGGCTGGCACTGATGCTCCACCTCTTTAGTTGCTTGGAGGACACACATCTGGATCCCCAGGGACTTGGAACAGCACCTTTGTCTTCTGGTTGCCTACAAGCATGCCTGGTGGGTAGCCAGTAGGTACTAAGAGTTAAGACAAAAGTCACTGTCCCCCCATCCCACAAGTGCCTCCTACCATTAATCACCCAGTCCCTCCTCTGGATCCTGTAGGCCTCTTACCAGCCACCAACCAAAGAGGCAGGATTGGGCAGTGGGGACCCCTGTTCCTGCTCTAACCACTCTGGCACTCTGTCTAGTGTCAGTTCTGATGGGCATTGTCCAGCTCCAGACAAGAAAGCAAGAATCTCTGTAGTGGATGGAGAAGGGAAGTTAATGTGTAATGATATTAAATTGATCCTTCTGGGCGCCAACTTGTCACCTTGTTGTTGGTGACAAGTTGAATGGATGGGGCCTGGAGCAGCACTGATGGAATCACAGATGCTACTTGGCCAATTCCATCTTCACCCAAGGTTTTCGCCTCTCCTTTCCTTCCTCCTTCTTTCTCTCTCTCTCTCTCTCTCTCTCTCT